TCAAATCCAAAGCTGAAATTAACAAGCTTAGCGAAAAATTACAGGATAAATACATAAAACAAATGAAGGCTTTTGATCGGGAAAGAAAGGGGTGGAATCGGGATTCATTACAAAATAATACTAAGATCCAAAAATTACACACCCACACTTTGCGGGTCATTAATGAACATAAGCAACTACAAAATGAAAATACCAATCTTATTTCTCATAACACACAAAAGGATATTTTTATTGCTGAATTCAAAGCTAAGAATGTTACAAAATCTAAGAAAATCAAATCACTCGAGTCTATGATCAAGATATTGGAAAGTAAGTTGTTTTCAGCCCAGAAAGATGTGATTTCGATTCAAAATGACTCATCAAAAAAAGAATCTGAGATATTATCCCTCAAATCTAAAATAATTGAATTGGAACAAGAGTTAGCTTCAATGGTTAGTAAGCTTAGATATCTAAAATCCAAGGATAAATCAAAACTTGTAGTTGGTGGGAATAATGAAAAAAATACGCAGAGCGAGGAACAAAGTTCTATAATCAAGTCTGGCGATATATCTGCAATTAGTGAACCTATCAAAAATCTTAGTAAATATTTTATACGTAAAAAAAGTATAGATCAAACTGAAAAAATCGATGGTAATATCTCAGATCATATTGATTATGAGAATACCCCAATATCTGAGAAATCAATGATTCAAAGCTATATCCCAACTCCAAAAGTCGATGCCGAGAATTCTACCAAGTTAAGTGATGACATCAATATTAGTGGAACTAACAACAATGTATTCCAAGGAATATTGGATGTGGCTCCATACTTTGTATAGCCAGAAAATCATACCTCCTCTTTGATTGAATCGAATTTCCAGATGTCACCACTGTTGGCATATATTATTCTTATATTGTTGGTTATTGCAGTTATATGGTTCGTGGTATTGAGGCGTGGATTGAGTATAGGTAAAAAAAGTGATTGGCTATAGGGTGCATGAGCTAGGCATTAGGAACTATCTATTTAAACTTCAGTATTTTTTATATACGAAAAAATATTATTAATAATGTATAGCGGAGCTAGTGTCTAAAGACACATAAGTATCTTAGTGGAGTCTGGCAATTCTAACCAAGAATACTTAACAATATAGAATAGCACAACTAATCAATTCAAGGCTTTAATATATTTTGTAAGCTATTTTTAGCTTCTTTTTGCGAATATGCGTCAATCTGTTTTTCTTTTTCATCTGAATCTTCGAGTTGCATAATTTTATATGAAGATGGTGGTTGATATTTCTCATCTTCATTAATAAACCGCGTACATAATCCCAACACACTTTCTAAATAGTAGTTAATATTTATTTCCATATTCTGCTCTTTTGCAAACTCTGACTCTATACGGTATTAATCGACTTTTTTCATCGCGATAACGCTCACCTTTTACTACAACATAACTAAAGCGCTCACTAGGATCTGGGATATTTAATTTTTTTTCTTTCATTCAAGCTATAAAATGCTGAACATAAAAATTTTTTTTCTTAGGCTTCCACATAGCCGTCCCAATAAATTAACTAAAGTCCCATTGCTTATCTTTGGCCTCTCTGAGAGTATCTTCAACAATTTTATGAATTGATCGTGTATTATTTATATCCATAGCTTCCCACATGATTTTTTCTCCGATAAATTTGAAAAGCTGGGACTGGCCTTGCTTTATGCTATCAATCCCTTTTTTAAAGAGATTATCTGGTTTGAAATTGACAACCCCTTCATGTGGTACACCGAAGTATTTTTTCTTACCAGTAAAACAAACAGGAAATAATACCTCTTCATATGCCATTTTAAGATAAGATGTGCCATTTTTTATCCTCAGATAAGCATTTACTTCATCACGCAATTTTTTCATCACATTCATAGTAATTTTAACTATTTCAGACCAGTATTCCTCCTTGGAAAGGTTTCCTTTGTTAAAAGCTCTATCATATTTTTCATAATATTTATCTGGACAGGTAAGATATAAAGAATCGGTATCTCCGTATTTTATTCCGAAACCTTTCCCAGACACAAACTTAGCAACAAAATCAATATTATACTAACCTGCAGAAGTGATTCCTCCAGCTAATTCATGAAGAAAGAATGGAGATTTGCTGTTTCCTGCTTCTCTGTAAAAAGTATTCATATATACCTTTAAAGCGAACTGCTTAGAATTTAAACAATTATAATTGAAACATATGGATGAATATTCTGAATTTAAGCTTTCTGTGATTTTTTTATCTTTCTCTTTAACCGAACTTATCATTTTCCCAAAATGTTCTTTTTTCTTTCCTAACGAGGCAAGCTATGCTTTAAAATTTACTCTCTTATTGAATAGATCCTCTAATACAATAGGATATAAACTCTTCTTCTCGAATTGATTATCATGTCTTATACACCAAGTATAGACAATATGGTTATTAAATGGAAACTCAATCTTATGCAAGTTATTTCTATTTTTTTGTACAATATCGGCCTCTCTATAAGTTAATATCATTTTTTCTAGAGAAAGGTTGTAAGCTATAATAAGACAGGGATATAAAGATGCAAAATCCAATCCTGTAACAGGCCTCTTCATCCAATTCCTTTTTTAGATGGAAATACGTATACACCAGGATACTTATCTTTTTTTATATTTTTACACGATCTCGTACTAAATAGTATATTACGTTTAGTGGCATAAGCCCCCAGAAGATTTCGTATCTTCATTTCATTTGCCTGATAATGTGAATCAAACAAAGATACATAGGCTATAGAAGCAACCTCCCTATAGTCACTAATTACATTCTGCTTAACCATAAGCTCCTGGCAACGCAACACATCTATAATACAATAATATGCTACTTTACGTATTTTTTCTTTAGTAGAATGCGATTTATTTGAGAAAATACTCTCTTTTGCTTCTGAGTAAATTTTCCACATTTTATTATATAGCATA